TTGGAGCTGCCTGTGGAACAGTAAAGGTGGCCCTGAGGGTGGGTGGGGACAGGGGAAGTAAGGAAATTGGCTTCATAAAAGGAAAGTGAAAGAGAAAGAAAAAATTTACAGTTAAATAACATAAGAGAATCTTTCACATTTTTGAGAACATATTACCTTAACAGTCTCTGATGATAAAAAAGTAAAAGGTCAATAAATTGTCATCATAAAAGATATTGGAACTAACCAGAAAACCCCTACTTGCTTATTATGTACAAATCCACATTGCATAAAATTTTAATTGTATTCATTGCCCTTTGAGAAATTTGAAGTAGAATGAGATATAGTAAAGAAAAAGGAAAATAAAATATTCAAGTATTTGGAGGTACTCTTATGGAAGGACATTTAGTTTTGATTCTAAAAACTAGTAGTTAATTTTGAAATGGTAAACTTTGATTATATGCAAAAAGATTTTTGTTCAAGATGGCCAATTGACAATATATGCTCTCTTTTTGTGAAAACCCATTACAATTATATTAAAGGTATGAAAATGGAGGTAAATCTGTAACACTGACAAAAACCAATAAGATTTCTTTAGTAGATGACAGATTTAATTCTTTTCCTGAACTCAACAAGTGAAGTAAAATAACTGATAAAATACGATGGAGGAGGTCACAGGCTGGAAGAGGATTTTTCACCCTCAGCAATATTGACGTTTTGGGCCAGATAAGCCTTTGTTGTAGGGAGCTGTCCTGTGACTTGTAGGGTGTTTTTGCAGCATTCCTGGACTCTAGACACTAGAGGCCAGGACCACTCCTTCCAATGTGACAACCAAAAAATGTTTCCAGGAATTGCCAAATATCTTTTGGGAGAAAAAACTGTGAACCCCTGGACCAGACAATGAGTCACAGAAACACAGCCAAGAAGAAAGTCTATCTGCCCTAAAAACTTTAGGAGAGACTCAACACTTAAAAATACCAAATACAAAAGAGAAGGGGCATGAAAAGAGATTATAAAAGCCAGTAATATTTCTATACACCAATAAAAACCAGTAAGAAAATGTTCTTTAAAAAGATACTGATTAACAATGATAAAAAAGAGCCTCTAATATTACATTTAACCAAAGATGAACAAGGCCTTTAAGGAAAATATTTTAAAGTTTTAGTGAAATACAGTAAATATGTATAAATAAACGAAGATGTCAATTATTTCTCTAGACCTCCAGATTTAAAGCATGCTAAATAAAAATCCCAATATGAAGGCATGCATATATGTATGTGTGTGTATGTGTATTCCTTGATACGGAAGAGAAAAGGGTCAAGAATAACGAAGACATACCTGGAGAAGATGGTGATAAATTCAGGTCAACTAGGTTGAAGGGTGGCCCCCTAAAGAGATACATCTATCTGGGAACATGTGAATGTGATCTTATCTGACAGAGTCTTTGCAGATTCTATGTTAAGGATCTTAAGATAACAACAATGTGGGCTATCCGGGAACCTCCTGAATCTAATGATACTAATCTCATAATCCAATGTCCTTATTGGACTGGAGAAACACAAACATCCTGAGATGGAGAAACTCCATCTCAGGATGGAGACAGAGATTGCAGCTATGTAGCTATGTGCCAGGGAATGCCTAAAGTTACCAGAAGCTGAAAGAGGCATTGGAAGGGTCTTCCCTAGTGCCTTCCAAGGGAGCCAGCACTGTTGATATTTTGCTTTCATATTTCTGGTTTCCATAACTGTTGGAGAATAAATTTCTATTGTTTTCAGCCACTAGTTTATGGTAATTTGGTACAACAACACTAGGAAACTAATACAACAGGTAGCAACACTTATTGTGAAACGATAGAGGATAAAACATTGTAGCATCGACACAGTGGAAAAAAAGCTGATCAACAGAACAGATTAGAGAGCAGGGCAACATCCTGATTCACACACGGAAACTTGACTTGTGGCAGAAATGGCATGGCACATCAGGCAAGAAAAGACTGTTCAACCAGTGGTACTAAGAGAAATGTTTATTCATATAAGGGGAAAAAATGAAATTAAATCCTTAAGTCAAACACATATGCAAATATCAATTCTATGTAGAATAAAGAAGACTTAAATGCAAAAAGGAAAAATGATTTTTTTAAGACAGTGATATCAGGGTCAGAAAGGATTTCTCACACAAACACAAAGAACACTAATAATAAAAGAAAAGAATGATGTATATAACTATACCAAAATTCAGAACACCGTTCATTAAAATATTACAAAGAAAATGAAAAGCCAAGCCACAAAATGGAAAAAGATTCATTTCTCAAAAGGAAGCATTCATTTCCCAAAAACTGTTTCTCTTTTTCCCAAAAAATGTTTCTGAGAATAAATTAAAAGACAAAATTATAAAAGGAAATGGACATATTACAGTGAATGTTCAGTAAAAAGATAAAGAAGAAAAAGAAATAGGCAAAAAATAAAGAGTACCTATCTATAAAGGACAAATGGTTGATAACCACTGATGAACATTATTAATAATAGGGAAAATGTAAATTAAATTCACAATGAGTTACTACTGTACATATATACATACATACATAAATACATACCAACCAGTTTGGCAAAAGTCAATTTTGTAGAAAATTTTGATGAGGAGGTAGAGCAACATGAATTCATTTCCTGCTGGTGTTGGTGCAAATGTCTACAAACCCCCTGGAAAACCATTAATCAGAATCTGCTAAAATTGAGTCTGAGCAAAACCTATGACCCAGCAAATCATCCGCTTGGCTTATGACCTGGGAAGGCTCTTGCACATGGATAGGAGTGCATGCACTAATCTGCAAGGATGTTAATTAGCTGCATTATCATAATTATAAAAGTGAAAATAGCTGAAATATTTGTCCACCTTCGAATGAATTAATAAACAGTAGTATATTCTTTCTAGGACATTCTATACAGAAGTGAAAATAAATGATGTAGCATGCATCCGAATGGGAAAACCTCAAAGAAATAATGTTGAGTGAAATAATGAAGTCACAGAAAGAAATAATATGATTATATTTACATAAATTTCAAATGAGGCAAAATTATATAATATGCTATTTGAGTATGCATACCTTGGTGATAAAACCACAGAATGATTAAATCCAAATTCAAAACAGTTTTTAACTATAAAGAAGAGAGGAAAAAGAACATATAACAGTTTCCTAGGTACTGGTAAGGTTCTATTTCTGAAATTTGGTGGTGGGTTCTTGGATATTCACCTTAAAATGTTTTACACTCTTTCTAAAGTATAGTAATATGCCAACAAAAATGAATGAAAGAAAAAATACCAAATACCAAGACACATCATTACAAAATTTCAGAAAACAAAAAGGAGAGTACAAAAGTTTCTAGAGAAAGAAGAGATTACTTAAAAAGAAACACAACTTCTCGTATAATAAGTAATAAATATAATGAGTAATAAAAGTGAACCAAAGCTTCAGGTGGTCTGAGGGGAAATGATTTTCAATTTAAAGGTTTACATTCAAACTGTCACTTGAGTGGACTGTAGAATAAAAGATTTATTCAACATAAAATAATTAAGAAATGTTCTCTCCCATGCACTTTTTCTTTAGGAAGGTGCTCGAGGACATAACCCACCAATTATCAAGGAAAATATGAGATGCAGGAAGCAATGGCTCACACACACTACAGCAATCCTGTTTGGACCCAGGTTACCTCTCTGAAGGGGACCTAGAAAGCAACCAGTTCAAATTGAAGCTGAAAGCATAAAGTTTTGAGAAAGCAGAATTAAAGAAACAGTAAGACTTTGGACATATCTGAGGATATAGTAAAATAACAGAGGACTTAAAATAAATGAACGAGTTCTATTTAAAATTGCTTTTGGGAACACTCTTGTGCAGCAACATTATTGTAAAAAACACTGTTTTGTTAAAGGACAAGCACTATTTAAATAGCTATGGAAATGAAAATGCTATTCATTGCTTTTCTATATTTAGAATCAACCCATATGAAGATTAAATGAATAAAATGAAGTACTTTCCTACATTGTTAATAAGTCAAAGAAAGGAAAGTACAGTAAGTGGAGGGTTGAAGTGCTAAACTCATCTTTTAATTGAGCTAATAAATAATTATACTAATTCAGTCTTTTTTCTATAGAGCTTTTCCTTCATTGTTCCAGAATAACTCTCCGAAGCTTTAAGGAGTACACTCTAGGCTAATATACTGGGTTTTGCTAGACAAATCTATGGTCTCCACAGACATGGTTTTCATGGGACAAAAATGGAAGATTATTCTATTTGACTTTCTTCTATGATAGGTAAAGATTTAGTTTGCTAATATACTTTGAAAATTACAAATGCCTTGATAAATGCAGTTTTCAAGGGAAACCATGAGAGGCATAAGTAGATTTGAGATTGACATTAAAAATTTTAGATGTGGGCACCTGGGTGGCTCATTCAGCTAATTGTCTTTATCTTGATTTTGACTCAGGTCATGATTTCAGGGTCATGAGATCCAGTCTGCACTGGACTCCATACTGGGCCTGGAGCCTGCTTATGAATCTCTCTCTCTCCCTCTGCCCCTCCCTGCCCCAATCTCTCTTTCTCTTAAAAAAAAAAAAATTATAGATGCATATCTTGTATGTGATGATTTACATGCTTTTTAAAACATAAGTAAGAAAATGATAAGGCAAACATGGAAATCATATATTCTTATGTTTAAAAAGTTGAAGGAAAATGAACCAGGACAGAAAATCAAGAATTAAAAATAGGAAGCACATCTGTTTCAACCAACACTTTTCTTGGTTGCTAATTAGTAGCCTACTCTAATCTACATATGTTTAATGGTATATTACTTTATTCTAAATATTTTACATATATTAAGTTATTTAATCCTTACAACCATATGGCTTAGATATTATCCACATTTTGCACAAGAAGAGTTTGAGGCATGGAGAAACTAAGTTTTTATAGCAACCATACTGAAAGTGAAACAGAAAAACACGTGAACTTTTAAAATTTCTATTAGGCTTACCATTCTCTCAATCTGATGACTCCTTTCTATAAACTCTTTTGAGCTTTTCATTCCATAATTTTCTTTGTATTTTATATTTGTGATTTTAAAAGAGGCAAGGTAATAGAATGACTTATCATCTGAAAGGCAAATATAAATAAAAGATCCATGCTTAAATATAGTCAGTTTCTAGTTTCCCAACCCCAGGAAATAGGTTAACTATAGTGCAGTTTATTTCTTCTTGGTACAAAAGTTATTGTGGACATTTTTTAAACATTTTGTAATTGTATCATTGTATCCAGCTAAAATAGAAAATTCAGGCCTCCAAGTACACTTTAGAATATTTTTTTACAGTGTTTATGCATATCAAAATTTTCATACAATTGGACAAGCAAAATGAAAAATAAATATTGAAAGCAATTGCTGAAAGTCATGTAAAAATGATCAATTTCCTCAAAGAACTGTAACATAGATTTATCCTAGGTAAGCTGTGTTATGAAGATACATTGAACAGGCTATCAGTTTTCTCTATGCTGCTAATAAATATTAGTATTCATTGTTTTCACTTTTTGCCTATTCACTTCTTAATTCTCAGCAGTCTACTCTTGACATACCACTGAAACTTCCGTTGTCAAGGACAACAGTTGTAATATGTAATAGCTACCTTTTTTAGGGTCTTTTTACTTTTCTTTTTTTAAAATCTTAATTGTTTTTCAGCCTTAATCATATTCCCTGAAACCCCATTTTAGGCTTTGTGGACCCAGATTCTAACTTTCTTCCTCCCTGGCCAAACTTTTTCAGTGACCTTGGAGAACTCTTTATTTCTACTGCTATCCTTAGCCACCCACTGTTCAATCCTTGCTCAGGTCATGTAAATAACCCCTTTTGGCTGAGCCTACGAGGGATGTCCTCAACCATCAATTATTTGTTGATGTTAAAAGATCAACTAGGTTGGTGTACCTGGGTGGCTCAGTTGGTTAAGCACCTGCCTTCAGCTCAGGTCATGATCCCAGGGTTCTGGGTTCAGGCTCCCTGCTCAGTGGGGAGTTCACTTGTCCTTCTCCTTCTGCTCACCCTCTCTGTCTCTCTCTCAAATAAATAAAATCTTCAAAAAAAAAAAAAAATCAACTGGGGCACATTCACATTTTCAGGAGTTAATGTGAACAAATAGTAATTCCAGTTGGGCAACACCAAACCAAAAGTGATTAGGACCCCTCCACCAACAGGAGTAAGGGGAGATTGGTAAAGAGAAGATGCAGAAGCAAATCAAAGAAATTATTTGACTGGCTGGCTATAGCTTAAGCAGCTGCCTTATATTGGTTTTGGAAAAAAAATATGAAACTTGGTACATGGTGTGATTTGTCTTTAAAGATTAAGATTTTCACTCTTCTTTCTCATTTTAAAGCTTTATCAGTTTTAAAAATTTTTATTTATTTGAGAGAGAGGGCAAGAGAGGAGAGAGAGAGAGAGAGAGCACTAGTGGGGGTGGGGGCAGAAGGAGAGGGAGAAGCAGAATCCCAGCTGAACAGTGATCTTGATCCTAGAGTCATGACCTAAACTGAAGGCAGATGCTTAACTGACAGAGCCACCCAGGTGTCCCAAAACTGTATCACTTTTCGATGTGTCTATCCATGCAATAATGTTTGTTGCAAGTCTCACTGGCTGGAACTATGTAACACTCAACTCAGTACTGGAGCAAACAATAATTTAACATCAACAAGAGATTAGTAATTAAAATTTTAATATCATGCAAATAGTATTTTTTATACGAGAGAATTTCAAGATATTAAGTCATAGAGCACTTAGCATTAGGCAATAGAAATGTGACCTGGATACTTACCCTGAACAACAAAATGCGTAACAATACCAATTGCAATTCCTATGATTGCTACAATTGCCAAAGTGAAAAGAGCTAGACGTATAGGATCCCAAAACTGCTGTCTTCTTTGATATTCAACTCGTGGGTAATCAGCTTCTGAAAATTCAAGTGGTCTGTGATAATAGAAACAATAAGAAAACAATAAGAAAGTCATTATGATTCCACTTTATGTCCACTTGTTACATTCCTCTAAAAAAATAGTTTATACTGCTAACTAATAATAGGATACTTAGATCTTGAAAAGAACACAAGGATTTAATTTGTATACACTTTCCCAATACCCCAATCACAGTACAAATTTTGGTTAAAGTTCTACTGATACTGACATTCAAGTGAGAATATCTTCCTATGGCATTTTGTCTGACATATTAGCAATTTGATATTTGAATGGTAAAACACAAAGATTAAGTTATTAAAAAGGTAATTTATAAATAACATTTTCATATTTTAATAAGGGAGTTTCTAGCAAAAGAATTATACAATAATCTCATCAATTCTACTTGATTAAAAATTAAAAAAAAACTTTATATGAATATTTTTAATGACCTTAAGAATTTTCTTAATGATTTCTTTTAAAAGTAGCAACATTACTTTTGAAGACCTGATTATGGTTCTTCATATTTTATTAGCACTCGCAATGAAATCAGAAATTGTGAATTGTACTTGATAAGACTCCAGTCCCGAAGAAGACTATTTCCATTTGACTATTACCTATCCCTACTCACGTACTACCTCCCCACTCAAAATATCTTGTTATTAAGATTATCAATCTTTTGATTATTTATTAATCAAAATTTATTAACTTTATTTTCCAAATAACAGAATAACATTCAGTGTTTAATATCATTCAAGTAAGATATTTTATGTTTTTATATTTTTAATCTTATTTAACAATATTTATTGTAAACTTATTCATTAAATGAGATAATAGCATTCTTAGGATGGTACCTACCACACTACAACAATGTTTCAGGAGCAGTTCTAGATGCCTATAGATACAAATATTTTAAGATATACTTTTTGCTTATTGGAAACTCACTCTTTTATAAGAGGATACAGATGTAGAATCAAGTAATTAATATATAGGTGAAATGTGCCAAAATAAAACTTGATGCAGGAATAGAAAGCAATTTACTTTTTGGAGGTCTGTGTCAGGTTGTTTTATCAGGTGACATGATTAAACTTTGAATGTTAAAAGTTCTCCAGGCATAAAGAACAGAAAAAATTACCATGTGCAAAAAAAGGGGGGGTGCTAAGGATGTGAAATGGTATTCATTACTAATATAGTAGTCCCCTTTTATTCCCTTGGAATATGTTCTGAAATCCCCAGTGGATGCCTGGCATTGTGAATAGTGTGAAACCCTGTTTTTTCCTATACATACATATGTATGATAAAGTTTAATTTATAAATAAGGCATAGTAAGAGATTGACAATAATAATAAAATAGAGCAATTATAACAATATACTGTAATAAAAGTTATGTATATATGATCTCTCTCAAAACATCTTACTGCACCATGCTCATTCTTCTTCTTGTGATGATGCGAGATGAAAAAAATGCCTCTGTGATGAAATGAAGTGAGATGAATGATACAAGCACTGTGACTAGCATCAAGCTACTACTACCTTCTGACAAGTCAGAAGGAGGATCATCTGCTTCAGGTAGACCATAGGTAACTGAAACCACAGAAAGTAAAGTCTCTGATAAACAGGGGGTGTGGGGGGTGCTACTGTAATTAGCACTGGGAGTGAAAATATAAAATACTGCTTTTGCCCTTGAGGAATTTGTGGTCTCCAAAGTATGTGCATGATTGCATTCTTTCTCAGCACTACTGTACTAGAAGGAGGATATGCTAAGGCTGGTGGACTGATTGGGTCATGAGGAGTCCCATAAAAGTTTGAAATTGACTCTGTAGAAGACGGGGAGCCAATAAAAGCTGTAATCAGACTGAGAATTTAGGATAATCACAGGATGGGAATTAGAGCAGGAGTGCAGACAGGAAGGCCAGTTTAAAGGTTATTTTGAAGGTGCAGGAGAAAGATGGTGAGGACGATGAGGACCTGAGCCAAGGCCAAAGCAGTGGGGTGGAGAAGAGATCGATTTAGCTCCAATTCTTGACTTTTGTTGGCTGTTTACTTAGTTGTGGGACAAGGAAAGGATTATGGCTCCCTTGTTTTGACGTCTAGATAAGTGATTGTGCCTCCTGGCAAGATGAGAAGGATTAAAGGAAAAGACAGTGATTTCAATTCAGACATCAATGATGTTAATAATGACCAATGTGCTATCCTTACACTTGGGTCTGAGCCAAATGGAAAGTACCCATTTAATGCCTTTTTCTCTTTGACTTATTTTATTTCAGTTGTGTCACCTGTTTGCATAACTCTAATAAAAGCAACTGTTAAAGTTGACACCACACAGCCCAGAACAAATTTTATTTGTATATAAAATTTATTTGTATATAATAAAAAAAATTTATTAGTATCCCCATATACAATACCTCCTTCCTCACCCTAATTGAAGTCTCCATCTACAAAATCTGTGGTATTAAGTATTCTTGATTATTTAGTTTGTGAATATTTTGGTTGTCACTTTTTTTTCTCACTTCCTTTTTTTCCTAAGTTTTGGCGATTTGGTTTTTTTTAATCTGAGCCCTTCAAGATGCAAAAAATGACAGGAATCAAATTCTGTCAAATTTGGGGGGTTATAGACACACAGTAAGTCATGATAACATTGCATCATGGTAAAGAAGATTTTTTATTCCTGACATAAATGTTGCTGTTCTTTGAATACATGAAAGATGAATGAGAGGAACACAGTCCAGATCCTAGATCCGAAAAATTATTTGCATACAAAAGCTAAATAATTCTGAGATGCAACTGTTGGTTCCAGTTCAAGATGGTGACCCAGGAGGATCCTGAACTCATCTCCTCTCACTGACACACAGAACCTATAGCTACATATGGAACAATGGACTCTGAAAAAACCTGAAAACTACTACTCAGAAAGTGAGAAGGAAACCTCATGGAAGTGGGTAGGAGAAGCTGAGATATAATCTCACCATAAACCACAACCCTGGCATGGCGACCCACCACTGGGAGGGAATGCAAAATGTGGAGCTTTTTCTTGAGGAGCAAATGGTTTGAATCCCACACTGAGCATCCCAACTTTTAAAACCTGAGAGAGGAGTCCCCAAAACATCTAGCTTTGAAAACCAGCCAGGCTCACCTTGACAAGACTCATGAGTTTGTAGCAAACAGATAATGGCTCTAAAAGAGCTCCCTGGGGACTTCTCCGCTCCAGAGACCAGCTATTTCATTCTCATGATTTAACTCCGGTATATACAGCAGACTAAGTACATTATCCCAGACCGAAACGATGTACATAAAAAAGTTCAATCTTAGACCTTTCTCTGCAGACAGCCTCACAAATGGTCTGATGAAGAGAACAAACATAACCTCTAATACAGTCCCCCTACAACATGCCACTTGTGTAGAATTAACAATTAAGTCTCAGAGCTACGTCTTCTTTTAAAGGCAGTTTCTTTGATGATAAGCACTGTAGTCATACCTAAATAAATAGGTGAGAAAGCTTGCCTCCTCTCAATAACTAGTTGTACTTAACTCTAAGATTATTGTATAGAAGATGGCTGACTTTTGGACATATGACACTTCTCAGAGAGTTCAGTCTTAAACTTTAAGGAAGTTTATTTAAGCAACTGGAATTGAGTTGCTTTCCCCCAGTTTCTTTTACAGAACTTTTCTTAAAATAGAGACTTTTATAGCAGATAAATTGTGGTTCTAACTAGCATAATTTAAGCAGAAGTATGCAGAAGGAAGTAGTCCCCCTTTATTATATATCTGCACATTAAATGGCATGTGTGTTTTTTATGTTAAATTGTAAAAAATGAAGATAGTCTATTTGTGCCTAAATTATTCTTTTTTTAAAAAAGATTTTATTTATTTATTTGACAGACAGAGATCACAAGTAGGCAGAGAGGCAGGCAGAGAGAGAGGGGAAGCAGGCTCCCTGCTGAGCAGAGAGCCCGATGCGGGGCTCCATCCCAGGACCCTGAGATCATGACCTGAGCCGAAGGCAGAGGCTTAACCCACTGAGCTACCCAGGTGCCCCAGTGCCTACTTTATTCTTATTCCAGAATTCTCAAAGTTAATCCATTTGTATCCTTTTAAAGAGTTAAATTGAAATATATGTAAGCGGGGACACCTGGGTAGCTCAGTTGGTTAAGCATCTGCCTTTGGCTCAGGTCATGATCTCAGGGTCCTAGGATGAGTTCCCAGTTAGGCTCCCCACTCAGGGGGAGCCTGCTTCTCCCTCTCCCTTTGCCTGAAGCTCCCCCTGCTTGTGCTCTCTCTCTCCTTCTCTATCAAAATAAATAAATAAAATATTTGAAAAAAAAAAAAAAGAAACATATGTAAGCATATATGGTTCAGGTGGACTGTACCAGTCACAAGAGGGCACTCACATGGTAAGAGACACCCCCAAGCTAGAGTGAAACTTCCTTAATCACCAAATACAGCTACTGGACATTATTGAGATGGAATAATTAAAAGAGTCAGATGGCAAAAGAATTAATTTTTAAGTTCATAATTGGGATTTATATTCTGCCTGTCATTTTACTTGATATAACTTAAGCCATTAATTTGAGACACTTTGCAGCATGTGTTTTGGCACAGTACGCTGTCTCTTTTTAAAGATTTTATTTATTTATTGGACAGAGAGACAGAGAGAGAGCATGAGAGGGGAGAAGGTCAGAGGGAGAAGCAGACTCCTTGCTGAGCAGGGAGCCCAATGCAGGACTCGATCCCGGGACTCCAGGATCATGACCTGAGCCGAAGGCAGTTGCTTAACCAACTGAGCCACCTAGGCGCCCTACACTGTCTTTTTAAACTTTAATCTGTTTTAGTTAATTCAGTTATGAAATTGGGATTTAAAACAGTTCATTACTGAAATACATTGACATTATTTTTCCCATTTCTAGGCTTCATATTACAGTGGATGTGTGTGTGTGTGTGTGTGTGTGTGTGTGTGTGTGTGTGCGCGCGCGCTTGATTCTCTAAGGTTATATCACTGGAAAGCATTTGTGCTATTATTGAATAATTATTTGTTGGTTTACCATTAGTGTTACCCTTGGTGTTAACATTGATAGACTAATTCTCAGCTTCTCTAATTACTAATTGTAAATGCTTTTCAGGTCACATACATATATATGTAATAGGTATTTAACAATAACTAATAGAAATATTAAATGAAATATCTCTATTATTTATATTATAGTATTTTATTGGTTGATGCAGAAGCAAAGCTTGATCTGTTCCTTGTAAACTCAGTTATTATCTATGTTCTCTGAACTCCACATAGACTAGAAGCTTTTCCAGTACTTTTTATCTCCCGTAGTCTTACTGTGTGACTATTGAGTTCATGGTTAAAGGTCCCAAAGTTACATTGTCACACTACCATAATAATTACAATTAGTTTATTGATGTAAAATATGTCAAGTATTTTTAGACAAAGCTCTGTTAGTACTGAGTTTGGAACATACCCAGACCCACATGATGCATAATCTGGTCAGTAGGATTGTTATATGTCCTTTTGCTATACTTAATTCAATTCTACTTAAGAAACTTTTATTATGTACCTAATATATTCCTAGCAGTGGGGATGTAAGAATTTAAAAACAAATACACTTTGTATTCAGGGAGATTATGGTAGAGTAGAAAGGTATAAAATAATAAAATCAATACAGTGTCATAGGAAAAATAACAGATTTACCAAGTACAGTGATAAGTAAACATGGAGGATTAAATAATATAGGTTGTTTAGGAAAAGGACAAGAAGGCATACAGGAAAGACTTCTTAGAAGATGTGATGACTGGTCAGGGCCCTTGAAGGTCAAGGGCATTTTCCAGCATGTGATAGTGGTTAAATACATCCTACTCCTGTTTACTCCTTGCTTGCAAGTAGAACAACTTATCATTATCATAAAAGCACCTTTTTAAATAGGAATATGACCACAGAATTTATTGGGAAGTCAAAAACAAAACAAAACAAAACAATGAATAGTATTTTTCACCACCATGCAAATAAAAAATTGATAAAACCAACAAAAGAAAACAATTCATGCATTTTGGATAGAAGATAAGTAAGAAGAGTTTAAGAGATTTTGGAAAACCATGTTAATGACTTAAACAGTCTAATTTAGTTCAGCTGATGGTAGTGTGATTCTTTTTGAGAAATCTCTTTTTATGGGAAGACTTGCCAATGCTAGAAAATGTGAATCAAAACCTTGTCAGATTGTGGGTAGTAAAGGAGAGGAACTCTCCTTTGTCTTCATTGTGGTTGTTGCAGCATTTAAAACAATACAGACATCTATGATGGACACATGGGTTGCTTCCATAATTTGGCTATTGTAAGCAATGCTAAAATAAGCATAGGGGTGCATATATCTTTTTGAATTAGAGTTTTTGTTTTTGGGTTTTTTTTTGGTGAATGAATATTCAGTA